GGAGGTAGTTAGCAGGCAAATGATATACCCACAGGAGCCAGAGATCGGAAGCTCTTTCCCAAGGGCCACACAGGGAATCTGTTCAGCCCTCAGAGTGGGCTCAAAGTCTCCTTCAGTCTCCCACTGGGTTGCCAAAGTTACGGAATTGTAGCGTCTCTGGAGAGTGCTCACGTGAATTCCGTGAGTTCTCTCCCCCACCGTCTCTTTTTTCACAGTCTCAGTTCAGTAGCACCACAAATTTACTGGGTCCTAATCTCCTGTTAATTCACCCCACCCAGAGTCAGGTTTTTCTGCTAGGTTCAGGGCCGGTGCAGACCTGAGGTCGCTCTGCTTATGACGTATGTCCAAGATGGCGCCTGCTCTTTGTCTTGCTCGCCCTTGAGAGGTGAGCGGAGAGAGAGAAACCCGTGTCCGTACCAGTCACCTTTTTTTTTTCTCTCTCTCTCTCTTCCAGCTAGCCTGGTGAACTCCCCACCCCCGGGGGTCATTCCCTCTAGTCTCCTCTCTCCGCTTGCCTGCCGGTGTCTCGGGCTATTGAGGTTCGGCTCACCTCGCGTTCCAGCGCTGGTGTGTTGAGTCTGCCGCTGGTGTCCCGAACTGTGGGCTCCCACGCTCTCCACGCAGGTCCGCTCCCCTTCCAGCGCTGATGTGTGGACTCGGAGCCCTGGACGTCCCAAGCCTGCCTGCTGTTGTCTGTGTGGCACACACTCCCCTTCGAGCACTGGCGCGCAGATCCTGGGGCTTCCGCGGCTCGGTCCCGCGGCTTGGTCCCAGCAGCTCGGTTTCTGCGCGGTGGGCGACCTTGTTCTCCCAGTAAGTCCTCCGATTCATGGCCACTTGGTCCAGAAGAGTTTCCTACAGTTATGGAGGTCAAGTCTTATCATCTCCATGCCCAGCTGAAGAACCAGGAAAGCCGGTGATGTAATTCAGTAAGAAGGCCCACGGGGTGGCTGGCGATCCAGTGTCCCGGCCCAGCTTGCTGCTGCCGGTCTTCCAGGTTAGTGGTGATTCTGGATTCTCCAGAAGCTGCTTTTGAAGTCCATGCATAGCTTTTTTTACATACTGGTTTCTTCCATAAGCTTTTGAAGAAATCCCTCCACAATACGTGGGCAAATATAAAAGCCACTATTGTAATTTTGGTTCTTGTGACCACCTCTAATTTTTAATTAATTTTTAGACTTATTTATTTAAGAGGCAGAGTTATACATAGAGAGAGGGAGAGAGAAAGAAAGGTCTTCCATCGTTGGTTCATCTCCAAATGGCCGCAACAGCTGGAGAATACACTTTCAATAATTTTGTTTTCAAGTATCCTGACCTTTTATGACTGACTAAATCTGCTGTTGAATAACACTAGTGCATTTCTAATTTTAGCCATTAGGTATTCAGATCCAGAATTTATTTGCTTTTTACAATTCTGCTTGTTGATATGCTTGTTTTCTCAATATGCTATTTTCTTGATTCTTTTAGCTCTTTGTCCATGTTTGCCTTTAGTTCTTTGACCTTATTCCAGCCAGTAGATTTACAAACTTTCTTTGATAAGCCTGTTGTCTGGAATCCTTGATAGACAGGTGCCCTCAATTTCTTTTGTTCCTTTGAATGAGAATGTCTTACTATTTCTTTTTTTTAACTTTTATTTAATAAATATAAATTTCCAAAGTACAGTTTATGGAATACAGTGGCTTCCCCCCCCCAATACTTCCTTCCCACCCGCAACCCTCCCATCTCCCGCTCCCTCTCCCATTCCATTCACATCAAGATTCATTTTCAATTATCTTTATATACAGAAGATCAACATTAAGGACAGAGATCCTATATGGGGAGTAAGTGCACAGTGACTCCTGTTGTTGACTTAACAATTGACACTCTTGTTTATGGCATCAGTAATCACCCTAGGCTCTTGTCATGGGTACTAAGGCTATGAAAGCCTTTTGAGTTCACCAACTCCGATCTTATTTAGGCAAGGTCTTAGTCAAAATGGAAGTTCTCTCATCCCTTCAGAGAAAGGTACAGCCTTCTTTGATGGCCCATTCTTTCCACTGGGATCTCACTCACAGAGATCTTTCATTTAGTGTGTTTTTTTTTTTTTTGCCAGACTGTCTTGGCTTTCCATGCCTAAAATACTCTCATGGGCTCTTCAGCCAGATCCGAATGCCTTAAGGGCTGATTCTGAGGCCAGAGTGCTGTTTAGGACATCTGCCCTTCTATGAGTCTGCTGTGTATCCCGCTTCCCATGTGCTATTTCCCTTGAAAAATGTGAGGCTGCAGTTGATACAGGTGACAGCTCAAATGCCATGGATTGAGTTCCTGGCTCCCAACATTAGCCTGATCCATCCCTGTTCACTGGGGACATCTGGGGAGGGAGTCAGAAGATGGGAGCTCCCTGTCCCTCTCTGTGTCTGTTTCTGTCTATCTGCCCTTCAAATAAATTCAGTAAATGAAAATTTTAAATGGTATTAATGAAAAAGTAAAGGTACATTCATACACAAGATTACTCAAATCTAATTCATTTTGGGGTCCATTACTGAGTCTGCAAACAGTCCTCCTGACAACATTTAGATGCTACAGCAGTTTATGTACTATCTTATCTGGGGCCTTCCCTGGCTTAACTTTTTGATGTATCCTTATTCTTAGCATAAGTTAAAATACCAAAATTTGAGGATAGAGGCTGGTGAATCTTGATTTTAAACCAGCATCCCAAAGCCGGCACAATGTTGCAGCATGTTAATGCTCCAGCCTGAAGTACCAGCATCCTATATGGGCACCAGTTCCAGTCCCAGCAGCTCCTCTTCCAATCCAGCTCTCTGCTATGGCCTGGGAAAGCAGTGGAAGATGACCCAAGTCCTTGGGCCCCTGCACCCGTATGGGAGACCCAGAAGAAGCTCCTGATTCCTGGCTTCAGATTGGCGCAGCTCTGGCCATTGTGGGCAACTGGGGAGTGAAACAGCGGTTGGAAGACCTCTCTCTCTCTCTCTCTCTCTCTCTCTCTGCCTCTCCTCTCTCTGTGTAACTCTGACGTTTAAATAAATAAATAAATCTTTTTAAAAAAGCACCCAGAGGAACCCAAGATGGCTGTATTGCAACAGGACAATCAAAGTCCTGCAGGGCTAAATAGATAGATAAATGGGGAAAGATACACTCTGTAGATAGAGCCATAGGAAATTCGCAATGGGAAGCCCAGGACAGCAACAGAGCCTGGGCAGGTCCAGGCTGAAAGAGTATAAGAAAGGGAAGCAGCTAACAATCAGATTGGGGAGGTCACAGCCAGCCCCTAGCAGACCTGGTGAGATAGGAAATCATGGGTTCATGGAGCTGCAAATAGCAGTGGGAGCAAGAGCTTGGCAAATTGCTTTTCAGTTTTCACACAGGAAAAAGAGAAGGTATAGAGGAATGAATAGAGAGGTTAGACCCCCCCTGCCCACATCTCTCCCCCAACTCGCCCCACCCAGACCTGCAGCCAGCTGGGAGAAGCCATTATGGTTGTTTACTTTTTCGAACATAAGCAAGGGATTGCTGCCTTAGCCTCCCATACACTCCCTTAATTGCGGCGGCCACCTCACCACACCCCCATCCAGGAACGTGGACCAAAACATTTCAGAAGAATTTCTTCCCCACCATTCAGGCTGCACAACAAGAAAAAGTCCTTTCTATTGAAAACTGAGCCCACTCCATCCACCATTAAGCAGTGAGCTGGGCTGCAGTAGGTGGGGCTCCGCTCACCAGAGGAACAGTTTTTCCTTTCTTCCATACTAGTTGTTGAACTCTTTACTTAACATAGACTTAATCATATGTGTATAAAGTCAATTGAAAATGGATCTCAGAAAAAAAAAAAGAGAATACGGGACAGATGTGGAAGTTTGTAACTGTAAAGCTGTGTAGTTCTGCATACATTCCTACAGATTCACTTCAAAGTGTACGGTTTAAATACTTGCCATGGGACCCAAAATCCCATTAGGCTGATGTTCAAAATGCCATTGTAAGTGTTAAAGTGACCATATTAAGCGTGAAAGTGATCATATAGATAAGATTCAGTGCTAAAGAGATCATATAAATAAGATCAAGTGTCTGGTAATAATAATAGAATTAAAAAGAAGAGAACGTTCTAACATGGGAAGAAGCCCACACAGTAGACTCATAGAGTGACAATCGCTTTAAGTAGCACTTGACCCCAGAATCAACCTTTAAGGCTTCCTGTTCTGGCTGAAAATCCCATTAGAGCATTTCAGTCATGGAAGGCAAGACACTGTGGCAAAAGTGTTCTACATGAAGGATCTTTTTTAGTGAGACCCCAGTAGAAATAAGTGGCATCAAAGAAGGATGTATTTTTCTCCTGATGGAGAAGAGAACTTCCAATTTGCTTATGGCCTAGTCTAAATTCTGTTGGAAACTGTGGATTCAAAAGGCTTGGCAGCTCATGTCAAGCGCCTCGGGTGATCACTGACATCATACATAAGAGTGTTAATTGTTAAATAGACAACAGGAGTTACTGTGCACTTACTTCCCAGGCAGGACCTTTGCCTTAATGAGTTGTATTATGAGAATGAACTATAAGACTTGTTCTCAAACAGCTTTCTGTCTTTGTGTGTGTATGTGCAAATTGTTGAAATCTTTTAGTATAGAGTTGGTCTTCTGTGTATAAAGTTAATTGAAAATGAATCTTAATGGAGAACGGGGCTGGGAATGGGAGAGGGAGAAGGTGGATGGTGGGCTGGGAGTGGGGGTGGGAAGGTGGAAATAGTGAAAAGTATCACTATATTCCTAAAGTTGTATTGTGTGTTTTAAAAACTAACATTAATAACTGTCTTATAATGACATCAACCCATTTATTTTTCTTCCACTGATGACTTCCTTTTGAACCTTTTATTTTCAGCCCAGGATGCCCCCACTTTTTGTTTCTTCCATGGGACCTCTGCCCTAAGGGTCCCCAGCTCACGGAGGACAGAATCTTCTGAGTGTCACACAATTGTTGTGTAATAGACCAACATTTACCCTTCACCTCTCACCTGTAGCCACACTCTGGTGGGAAAGCTGATGTTCAAGGGATGGTCTTCCCTGCTCCCACTTGACTGCATTTGTGTTGGCCCCTGGTTCCCTTCCTCATGGGGCCTGCCTGAATACCTGCAGACCAGATGATATCACAAGTGAACCAGGATCAAGGTTACTTCAAGACCAAAAGGGTACAGTGACTCTCCTTGTTCTTTCAACATGAGGAGCAGTTTTCACCTTAACCAACACTTGAGGAAGAGAGTAATCTGTTTTCCTGCCTCTTCCTTGGAGACACAATTAGAAGAATACAGTATCTCCAGGGACTCATATTCAGACTTTTTCAATTTTCTAGATAGTCAGGGAATTTGTGTGATCTATAGCAAATGAAAGAAATGGAGACAAATAGAAGAGAAAGAGAAACAGAGGATTTTGATGCTGGTTCAAAAAAAAAAACCCACAACACCTATATCCCTGAGAGTTCTGAGACCCTTCTTGGGTCAACTTGAAAGTGAATGTCTGCAGGGTCTGTTGCACAAGGATAATTCTGTGTCACTCCCAGATGAATTCAGATTCCACATACAGTTTTCATGCACCTTCTCTACTGAGGACCATCTGCCAGACCACCCCCTACCACTCACATTTCTTTCTCCATATTCTCCCACAGGGGTGTGGCAACTGGTGGGGAAAGGTGACTTTTCAATTCCAGTAGAAGCAGTAGTGACTCTAGTGTGTGCATGTGACCTGAGGATTTTGCCAGAGGGAAAAATGCTGTCCTATGTCCACTGACTTTGAGTCTGGCTGGGAGGGTTGACAGTGGGATGGGCACCCACATAGGATTCTGTTACCGCCACCCTCTCAGCATATCATGGGCTCCAGGGCTCAAACTGCCAACATGGAATGCACACAGGCAGATGGCCCTGGGAATGTCTCTACTCTCCGTGGACGGGGCAGGCCTGCGGGGCCGAGTGGATACTCAACACTCCCTAATTATGGGGGCCTAGTGTGCTGTGACAGTGAGAATTCTGTGACTGCACAAAAGGGTGCACAGTGTAGCTGGCTATCTGGACAATCACTGTGTCTGGTGCTAGAGGCTCAGAGCTCTCCGACTGACTGCTGTGGCTTCTTGCAGAGGGTTCCCGGCTCACACTGAGTTCCACACAGATCCTTCATATGGTTTTGTGACAGATCCTTCATATGGTTTTGGATGGGAGTTATACCCACTGTGTGCTAATCATGGTCACTGATAACCTTGGAGTTGTATCCATTTTGATGCAAATGGTGTAACACCATTCTTTTTATAGCTGAATAACATTCTATTTATATATAAATGTATACATATCATGATATCTGTGAGATTAATTCATGTCCTCAAATCAAACAGCAGTTCAAGTTATTAACAGAGGATTGGTCCACTGGATAAAGATAGCAATTCATTTATCCATCTGCCTATTACATACCGATCGTTTGTCTCCAGCTTGTGGAATTAACTTCAAAATAATTCTAGAACAATCATCAACTTACATTGTTAAATTCCTAGAACTGAATTGCCAAATCACAGAATCACATAGGTGTAGCTTGATAGGAAATGAAATACAGTAATCCTAATTTTATTCAAACATGACATCTGTACATTGATTCATTCCATCTATCACCATCACCCTGTTTTAATTTATATAGGTTTTAAATTATTTCCCAGAATTTCTATAAGAAGATTGTACTCTGCTCACTACTCATTTTATTTATATATCTAAAGATTTTATTTATTTATGTGAGAGGTAGCGTTACAGACAGTGAGAGGGAGAGACAGAGAGAAAGGTCTTCCATCCACTGGTTCACTCCCAGAAAGGCCACAATAGCTGGAGCTACACCAATCCGAAGCCAGGAGCCAGCAGCCTCTTCCAGTCTCCCACACGGGTGCAGGGACCCAAGGACTTGAGCCAGCTTCCACTGCTTTCCCATGGCATAGCAGAGAGCTCGAATGCAAGAGGAACACCTGGGATGAGAACCGCCGGGCATATGGGATGCCAGCACTGCAGGCAGAGGATTAACCTACTGTGCCACAGCGCCAGCCCCCTCACTACTACTTTTAATCATAAATTTATCCTTTGCTACAATGTTTTAAGAAAAAAATCAGTGGCAGGTGCTATGGCGAGCGGGTTCAAGCCCTGGTCTGAGCACCACCATTCCATATGGGCACTGGTCCTAGTCCCAGCTGCTACTCTGATCCAGCTCTCTTCTATGGCCTGGGAAAACAATAGAAGATGGCTGAAGTTTGGGCCCCTTCCCCCACATGGGAAACCTGGAAGGAGCTCCTGGCTTCAGATTGGCGCAACTCCGGTTGTTGAGGCCATCTGGAGAGTGAACCAGCAGATGGAAGACCTCTCTCTGTGTCTCTCCCAATCAACGTAACTCATTACAATAAATTAAATAAATCTTAAATAAAAGAAAAAATCAGTAACTGTCTGAAAATTACTCCAACCAATTTTTTTCCTCCACATATTGTCTCTTTAGAACTTTAGCTTCAGCCCCATGTGGCCCTCACATTTTGTCTCTTCCATAAGACCTCTGCCCTAAGGGTCCCCAGCTCAGAATCTAGTGAGTGTCACACAATTGTTGTGTAATAGACCAACATTTACCCTTCACCTCTCACCTGTAGCCACACTCTGGTCACCTAATCACTGCCCTGGTGGGAAAGCTGATGTTCAAGGGATGGTCTTCCCTACTCCCACTTGACTGCATTTGCGTTGGCCACTGGCTCCCTTCCTCATGGGGCCTGCCTGCACCCAGGCACAACTAACAGGAGCTCTCTGGCTGCAAGTGCTCTGGACACTCCTCTTCCCTGCCAGCTGCTCCCATGCCCCACCAGGATGGCGCTTCACTTCTTCTGAAATTGTCATCCCAAGGAAGGTGCCCCACAGGACGGGAAGACTTCAGGCACCAGCCCAGCTATCCTACAGCATGCGCGTCCATGGCCGAAGACACGTGCTCCACATGAAGCTCAAGAAGAGCTTGGTGCCAAGAAATTTTCCTGTTATTACCAATGACGACCAGGGCGCTATGCAGGAAGACTACCCATTTGTCCCCCGAGACTGTTACTACTACAGCTACCTGGAAGGGGTTCCTGGGTCCATGGCCACAATGGACACCTGCAACGGAGGTCTGCGTGGCATGCTGCAAGTGGATGACTTCACTTACGAAATCAAACCACTGGAGGCTTCTTTGAAATTTGAGCATGTGATTTCCCTGCTTGTGTCAGAGGAAAGAGAAGAGGAGGCCAAGCACTGTAAAATTGGAGGGAAAGACACATATCAAGCCTCAGAAGAGGAAAATTATGCCGAAACTCCAAGAGCCGGTCCTGTTTATATGTGGCAGGTACATTATAAAGTCTTGAGACTACACTACACAGTTTCTTCCTCTTTATACTTTACAAACAGAAATCAGACCCAGATAATAGAGAATGTGGTCATTATGAACAATATCCTGCATTCCATTTATCGGCCAGCATCCCTAAATGCTGCCATACGTATGTTGTGCATATGGACTGGAGAAGATCAAATGGAGGTAACACAAAGACCTCATCCGTCAAGTGCTGTAACTGATTTTGGTTTGTGGAAATTAGCGGACGTTTATCCATATTTTTCACATTCTACTTCTGTGCTTTACACCGGTCATGCAATTGCAGGGCATAATTATTATGCCAGCCAAGGAGGTATATGCAATCCTAACTGGGGTGCATTTTTTGTCTATGTATCACGGTATCACATATTTGTGGCTGCGAGCATTGCAGCTCACGCATTAGGTCACAACATGGGCTTGAATCATGATTCTGCAGGTTGCCGATGTTTCCGAAGAAGCACTTGTGTCATGGCTCCTGTGCCTGGTCTTCAGGATATGCTGAGCAATTGCTCTTATCACGGTGTGTATCATCGTGTTGTTTTCTGGGATCCTTGCTTGAGTAGTCCAAATGTTCCATATAATAATTTTCCTTACATAGCTCCTCGTTGTGGAGACAAGATAAGAAATCAGCAGGAGGAATGTGACTGTGGCTCCTTTAAAGAATGTACTGAAAATAAGTGTTGTGGTACTAATTGTGCCCTCACCCTTGGCAGTCATTGTGACCATACTCCTTGCTGCAACGAGAAGTGCAAATTATCTGCCCCTGGAGTGATTTGCAGAGATATTCGTGGGATTTGTGATCTGCCAGAGTATTGTGATGGGAAAACAGAAAACTGCCCAAAAGACTTTTACATCCAGGATGGAACCCCATGTTCACCGCTAGCCGTTTGTGTAAGAGGAAACTGCAGTGACCGTGATATGCAATGCCAAGCCCTTTTTGGATACGAAGTAGGTGATGGCCCAAAAGCATGTTATGAAAAATTGAATATTATTGGTGATCGATTTGGAAACTGTGGGATTAGGCAGCAACGACCTGGAAGAGTACCTTTTAAATGTGAACAAGATGATGTTTTATGTGGAATGCTGCACTGTGGAACAATCAAGGAAATACCTGGTGGAGGACTGCACACTACATTTAGACGCATATTAGTGCAGGGTGTTAAACAAGAAGAATGCTTTGGATATGAAATACATCATGGGTCAGAAGTGCCACAAATAGGGCTTGTCGTCGACGGTGCAACATGTGGTCCAGGAAGCTTCTGTTTGAACCAGAATTGTACTTTTCATGCAGACATGAATTTTGACTGTGATGTGAAGACATGCAATTACAATGGAGTGTGTAACAACAACAAAAACTGTCACTGTTTGCGTGGATGGAAACCACCAAATTGTGAACAAAAGGGACAGGGTGGTAGTGTAGATAGTGGCCCCCTACCTGACAAAGAAGTTGGTATTAAACCCAATATCCGTGGTATAGTCAGCTATGAAGTAATTTTAATTATAATTCGTGGCATCCTTTTTGTGGTTGCAGGCATCATTGGTGCCCTTACAACAGCAAAACGATATATAGAAAAGAAAGTATTGGAAGATGAATATGAAAGTGATGAATCTTTGTAAATATTGCCAGGAGTCCACACAAGTAGAAAAGAACTTACTGGGAGCAATGATGAACAAACACTAGCAATCCCAACGTCTTTTAGCAATTCTGAGTTTGTATCTCGAAATAAAATCGCATT